TGAGCCGGCGAGATTTGAACAGCAGAACTGCAGTCAGCTGAAGTAGCCTGCAGTGCTGCATTTAACCACTGCACCACCTGGGCTCTTATTTTGGGAAATCTTATTTTCTTTGTTTGCAGTGAGTCTTTATCAGGCTTGGAAAACTGCCAGGCCGATATCTTCTAAACACCACGCTGTAGCAGCAATTACTTGGCAAGAAGTCAGGAACGGATTTTCAACCCTAATGAATTGAACTAATGATCTCCTGCAAACTCCCCTCCCCTTTGGCTCCTCTTTTATTCCCTATGGGAGGGGCCATTCACCGTCCACCTGTGCTTTTACTCCCGAGTCGACCCTTGTTCCTTGGATGTTCCCTTCTCCTGGCAGCTCTGCGCATGTGCACACCAGGAACAGTCTCCAGCTGTTCTTCTGCCTCACTGATGTCTGACTCCGAAGGGAGCTGATAACTGTCAGACGGCCTTGGCCCCGTCTCTGCCTCTGACACCAGAGCCTTCCCCAGACTCCAGGACTGGCCCATCTTCCTCCCCAACCTCCTCACTGTCTGAGTCTGCCACCGCTGTCAGGCCACAACGCCACCGAGCATCCTTCAGGTGTGGACTTCAATTCCCAGAATTCCTCAACCAACTAAGAATTCTGGGAATAGAAACCGACCTCTTGGAAGGCACATGTGGTCAATTTTGGCTTGCAACAATGGTTGTGTGAATGCAATCTTGACCAGTATTAGTTCTTTCGTCGTGAACGTCTCAGCCTAAGGTTGTTTAACTCAAAATGTTGTGCGTTCTCTCTCTCTTAGGCTCAGCGGGATTATTTCGGTGCCCACACCTACGAATTGTTGTCAAAACCGGGCGAATTCGTTCACACCAACTGGACGGGGCACGGGGGCTCCGTCTCGTCTTCGTCCTATAACGCCTAGAGGACAGAGGCCCCATGAAAACTGCATAGAAGGAGTCTCCGAACCTGCGGGCATTTCTGTGAATGTCCAGTTTTAGCTTTTATTTTTTATTTGGAAAGACATTTTTTTTAAGGTGTCTTGGGCAAAAAGCCAGAATAAAGTTGGTGGAATAAAATGAAATTCTGCAGAAATAAATGCTTGTCCCCAATTCATCTTCGCTCTTTTATTCCCTTGAGATTATAGCCATTTGGAAGTAAATATTGATCTACAGAAGCAAGAATTAAAGCTGGGCCAAAGGGGCAGGGATGATGGGGTTTGTCCCTCCATCCCTGGCTGGCTTATTTATTAGCGTATCAGTTTATTAGCATATCAATTAGCGTATCTGATGCTGTTATCTGGTCTTCGGCCCCAAAATTGCCCTTTTATTCTCTTTCATCATGGACTAAAGCTCCCCGTTTATTGCCAGAGGTAGCCAAGGGTGATGGGGCATGTATTGCTACCCATATTTTGCTTGGATGCGACCATCCAAGCAAAATTTAAAAAGTAGGAATCAGGTTTCTTGAAAAAAAAAATACTGATAAAATTACTACTATTCCTAATAGTAATATGCTTCAAATATAACATGTTCATCATCCAACATTTTTTTTAAATTAAAATAATAAATAAATTAAGAAAACAAACCCTCAAAATAGGACTTGATCTGCCTTCATCTCCTTTTTGACTTGATCCTATTAAAAGGAATTATTTGGCTTTATTTAAGAGGGAGACTGGCAAAGACTACACTGGGAGCAAATTTTGGGGGGGGAAATTAAGGAAAAGCAAATTTTATTTTATATTGTTTACTTCTGCATTCATATATACACACCTTTAACCTTTGGATTTTACTTTATTTGCCGTGCATTTTTATTCGTTACACTTTATTTCATTTATATTTTTAATTCTTTTTTTTTTAACTTTACATCCTTTCCTAGTCTATTTTCACTTTCATCCTCTTTTAGATGCAAGAAAATATAAAGGAGGAAAGTGTCTGTAAAAGGATAAAAAAAAAGAAAAGGAAAATATTAAGAAAAGATTATGAAACAATGCAAAAGGGAATGTGCATTTCATATTCTTTCCTTTGCAATCTATATTTTATATTTCATTTACACTTCCATCCTTTTTATTTTCACCTACCATTTGGTTTTTATTCAATTCTACATGATCTTTTCTTTTATGTAAACTGAGAGCCTATGCACCAAAGACAGATTCCTTGTGTGTCCAACCACACTTGGCCAATAAAGAATTCTATTCTGTTCTGTTCTAAACCATTCCATTCCTACTCTATTCTATTCTATTGCATTCCCTATTCTGTTCTATTCCTTTTCTATTCCATTTTATTCCCTTTCTATTCCATTCTCTATTCTATTCTATTCCTCTTCTATTCCATTCCCTATTCTATTCTATTTTATTCCTTTTCTATTCCATTCTCTATTCTATTCCTTTTCTATTCCATTCCATTCCCTATTCTATTCTGTTTTATTCTAAAAAAGAGATTGGACAACCCTTTGTCTGAAATGACATGGGGTTTCCTGCTTGAGCAGGGGGTTGGACTAGAGGACCTCCAAGGTCCCTTCCCATCCTGTTACTCTGTTACCTGTTATTAAATACACACTTTTATTTCCATTTCACGTCGTTTTCAGGCCAGCTCAGACCCCTTTCCCTCCTCTCCCCTCCCTCTACCCCAACCCCCCCGCCGCCGCTGCTTTCCGCAGCGGGACTACTAACTCCATCCTCCTCCATCCTCATGGGGCTTATAGCGCAACACTTGAAAGGACCGGGGGGGAGGCGTGGCCATTCTTCTCGGGGCGGAGATTGCGCTTGGCGGCTCCGCCCCTCAGCAGCGCCGCCTGAGGAGAAAAAAAAGGCGGGAAACGCCGCCATTTTGGTCGCCATGGAAGCTGAGGCGCAGGTACCCTCCCCCTTTCTCCTCCTCTCCCACGCCCGGCAAAGAGCGCCCCTGAACATGTGCAGAGGGCCCGGGCACGGCTGAAAATTCCCCAAGGAGGCTATTTCTCTCGCTCGCTTCCCGCTAACTTTTATTGTTTTAATGCGCCGCGACCGTGAGGGAGTTTGCCGGAACCCTGAGGGGGGAAATGAGACGCGGTGCCTCTGAGCATGTGCAGAGCGCCGTGTCTTGGGCTGTTGAAGTATTCCACGAGACCGGGGAGTTGGGGGGGGAGAAGCATTGTTGCTGGTGGTGGAAGAGGTCTCTGAGCATGTGCAGAGGGCCTGCCTTTGGGGAGTTTCCGGAGGAGGGAAACTGGGCGTGTCCCTTGAGCATGTACAGAGTGCTTTGGGGGCGGAATATCGGGAATGAGAGTCTTTGGAGTGACAGTTTTTCCCTTTCACTTATACATAGATATAAACATAGAAATGCACACACTGTATTGTATAAACACCCGCGCACACAAACAGAGAGAGTGAGCTTTATTGGGCCTGGCACCCTATACTATTTATTTTTTGTTCAGAGAAAATGCTGATATAATGTGTAAAGAAAAAATTAAAAGGAAATGATAATAAGACTACTGTTTTACTTGCAAAGCAGAGGCAAGCAAGTGTCAGAGGCAGAAGAGAAATAATATAAATAGTGAATATTGAATGTCATTAATATATTAAATTGTCTGGAAGACCTCACTTTTTATGGATATACCAAAAATAATGTTTGTGTGGATGTATATATGTATATGTATGTATGTATGTGTATATATATATATATATGTATGTATGTATGTATGTATATGTATGTATGTATATGTATGTATATGTACATACATACATACATACATATATGACAAATTCATGGCCAATAAAGAATTCTATCCTATCCTCTGATCTGTTCTGTTCTATTCTACTCTATATATGCACATACGTAAAAATACACACGTAAAAACACACACACATACAGTTTTCAGATATTTTACACAAGGCAAGGCAGTTAGGAAACTTGTAAAAAATGCTGATTTTTCTGAAAAATTGAAAATCCGGCTTGGATTTAGGAAACAGTATGCCATTAAATCATGTTGAAAGGGATATGAAAGAACCCCAAATTCCTGATCACTTTGGGTATCAGACTTCATTTATGTATTTATGTATTGAGTTTATTTAGTTAGTTTGAAGACCTGGTATAATATGTATACACACCAGTGCATAAAATAATAATTTTGTAACTTTTTCTCCTTAAACTATGTTTTTCCTAGAGGTTGAAAGCGGCTTTTCATTACACTGTTGCTCGTCTGTGCGAGGACGTTGCTGAAGATAAAAACATTCAGTTTAGCAGACAGACCATTGCAGCTATTTCTGAGATCACCTTTCGACAATGCGGTACTTTTCCTTTTCCTTATCTTTTCAGTATTGTAGTATTACTTTCAAACCAAACTGGGAATAAACTTGGAGATAACCTTAGTAAAACTAAAGAAAATGCACAGATCCTTCAGCAAAATCAGTTAAAACCAGAGAGCAGTTGTACCCTAGACATCTTTACCAGTGGCAAAGAAGGGGCTTCAGATCCATACAGGACTACTGGTATGTACGTATTTGTGTAAAGTCATCATGTACATTTGTGTGATGTCATCATCTACATTTTGTCACATACTCCTCCCAGATTGTGGATTTGATCTTAAAACATGCTTTGGAACACATAGCAGTGCAAATCTAACATTTTAAGGAGTTCTAGATAGGTGCTATGTTCATCCTCCTGTGCACTTTGAAGTATTTAATAAGATCCAGAATTTTAGCTCAGAATATTTATTCTTATGGGTATATTTCTTTTCCTTTCATTGATTCTGTTACCCTTGATAAATTGCTTTTAATTTTTCTGGAATGTTTTATTAGATCTTTTCTTAGCTTACAAAACTGCTATTCTATAACCGATGTAGTTTTCATCCCCGCCTAACTAACAAGCTGGGGCTGTTTACGAATAAATCTGTTTATGATAATTTTGGAAGCTAGGTTACATTAAACTGTGATGATTTACCTATAGCTTTTTGTGTTGAAATTGGCTCTGCTTTTCAAGTGAAAACATGTCAAGATACTTTTAATTTTCCCCTTTCAGAAATGTTTGCAAAGGACCTTGAAATGTTTGCCAAGTAAGTATTCTGGAAAGAGGTAATACTTAACAATAATCAGTATGTATCTTTGTCTGATAAGACAAATAGAAAAATATTTTTCTTTTGCTTTCTATTAAGTGTCATATCTACATATGCTCTTAGCCTCTTGCTTTCAACCATCTGGCTTTTAGCAAGGATGTTCTAAAATGAATTCTGGGACTTTTATTTCACTGCATTAATTCATATTTTATTTAATAACTGTGTTAAATTACTTGTGTATCTGGCGCCAAGCTCTTGAAAAAAGGGTGAACTGAGAAGGGTGCTAGCTAATGGAACAGACAGAGAGCATGCTTTTATATTATATTAGAAGTATACAGATTTTGTAACAGCAAAATATTCCATAGGCTTAATGAAGTAACTGGATGATGTTTGGGTTGGAAGGTGTTGTAATCTAATCTTCTTGCCAGGTTGAGACCTGCCCTCCTCAATCCCTCCTCTTGTATTTGCCTAGCTTTTTCTATTGCTCTCTTCTATCTGCCACTGGTAGAAAAATTGTACATCTGGTGTTTTTTTGTCTAAAAACATGAGACTGACGCAAGATCAGATCTCTCCTTGCAGTATCTTTTTAGCTAGTCATAATTGCATCTGCCCCCCCCCCATCTCATTCCACTTACATTTTACTTTTGTGTCCATTTTTCTGGGTTAATGAAAGTCAATTTTCATTTTGCACATTGCACTTCTGAATCAATGTCTTTATATAATGGGCAGGTGTGTTAATATATAAATCAAGCGGAACTTGAATGACGCACAAAGAACCTGGTTTTTAATATCTAGTGGTATCTTCGTCTAGCTTTTGGGATTCCCCCCCCCCCCCAGTTTGCTGAGATAATTCTCTCCTTCTCTACCCCCTCACTTCCATTTATCATAATTTTACTTTAGAGTCTCAAGAACCATGGGGAGATAAGATGAAACATTGCACTATTGCACAGGAAATATCTCAAGGCCTGCTCTTCCCTTGGTACAAACAATGTTTCTTGTATATAGAATACAATTACAGAATTACAAAGTAATGCAGTCAGTTTCCTATTATCAATGAAAATTACTGTAGTACAGAGTGGTAATTTGATAACTTTCTCCACAGTGTATCAGTTGCCAAGGGAACATTTCATTTTACATAGATAAACATCAAAACGGAAGAAACAAAATGTCCCTGCTATTTATCATTCAAAGCTTGATAGACTAATTGTCAATTTAGTCTTGAAAAGAAATCTAGGAAGGCTGGCAAAATCAGGAGCCTTCCTCAGCAAACTGTAGGGAGGGGGGAATCCCAAAAGCTGGACAAAGCATTTCAACATAATCTACTTGTCACTACGTAAAAACGTTCACTTCGTTAATGTGCATCTGTAGAAAAAGTTTGAATGATTTATGCTCAAGCAACTTTTTTGATAAAAGATTTTAAGATTAGACAATTTTCCTGAAATCTCCTTCTAACCTGATCACTTCCTCCTTCTCATAGGCACGGAAAACGGAGTACAGTTAATGTTGAAGATGTGAAACTTTTGGCTCGAAGGAGTAACTCATTGGTGAGATGGGACCCTTCCCTTTTGGATCTGTGGTTTCACTTGGAAAGCCTTGTTTACTGTTATGTTTCTTCTAAACGCTGGAGGCTGCTTGGATGGTGATGGTATGCTAGTTTACGGAGGCTGGCTGCCAATATATTTGACAGAATACAGGTAGTCCTCGATTTACAACCAAAACGGAGCCCAGCATTTCTGTGGCTAAGTGAGACAGTTGTTAAGTGAGTTTAGCCCCATTTTACAACCTTTCTGCAGTTGTTAAGTGAATCACTTCCATTGTTAAGTTAGTAGCAGTTGTTAAATGAATCTGGCTTCCCCGCTGACTTTGCTTGTCAGAAAGTCACAAAAGGTGATCACTTGATCGCCGGTCGCTGCAACCGTCATAAATATGAGTCATTTGCCAAGTGTTGGAATTTTGATCCTGCTACGGACTTTAGTGTAAAAATGATCATACATCACTTTTTTCAGTGCTGTTGTAACTTTGAATGAACTGTTGTAAGTTGAGGACTATCTGTAGAGTAGAAGTACCTATAGGCCAATACAAGTATCATAAAAACAATTGCTTCCCAGTACTTTTAGACAGTGGCATCTCCACAGAAGGGACAAAAGAGGCAAGATGGTGGTTGCAGCATTGTAATTAAAGTTCTAACTCTTAGTGTAATGCTGCATTTGTCATTTTGCCTGTTTCATACATATGCATACATGGATATACACCCCACACAGGCCACTGTCCTCGGGGACATATCTATACAGGAACTTCTTGGCATCATGGATTTAATTGATTGAACTGCGACATTGCTTCTCAAATTCTGGAAGTTACTAACAGCTTTGGAGAACAAGAACAGCATTAGTGAGTGCGATGGTCTCAAAATATTAGGGGCTGTTTTTTGATATCAGAACAGTTGGAAATCTGGCTGAAAGCCACCATATTGTAAAAGCTAGCGGCACTTTACAGGTTTACACATACAAGAACTGAAACTGTATTACAGGCTGAAAGGGCTGTCATCACACAATGTACTTTTCCCTGTAGTGCGCTGAACACTACAAACAGTAGTTTGGAAATTCCTGTGCCCGTTACTTTTATGATGCTGTAGCTTTAAGAAGAAAAGCCTCTTTTCTCTTGTCTTACTCCTGGCCATCCTGGGCTTTAGAAACAGCCGTGGAGTACAAGTGGCTTACTTTCTGACGTTCTGCTTTAAGCTCAGATTATGATACTGACCCTGTAATGTCAATTCTTACTGAAAAGCTCAAGGTTCTCTCTTTTGTAACAGCAATTTATAAATGTAGAAGCTGATTCATAAGCCAGGTAATTAAACTTCAGGGGTAAATTCTGCTTTCATCCTGGAATTTCTCTCCGACTTCACTTGAAGAACGGTAACTTTTGGGTCCGCCAGAATGGCTACTGGGGGCTGCAAAGTTAACCCTTCAGTACCTGGCAGAGATGGATGCCTTGCTTCTCACTTTCCACCTGCTTAGAGATGCCAATGCAAAGTCAGTAGTTTCTTGTGTTTCTGTTTTCTAACACACAGCCCTAACACTCCCACCCCAAAATAAAGGACTACAAATAGTCCTGCTTTGATACCTTTGATAGTACCTGGTTATGGGTGGTGTTTATGTTTGGGAGTGAATGTGGGAGACTTATATTTTCCTGCAGATTGTCAAGTTGGCTGATGAGCACAAAGGCCTCTCTGGCTTTTCTCTCCCATGTTTATTATGCATTGTCTATAAGCTGCCCTATCAGCTACTGATACATGCAGTCTCTCTTTTATTTAAAGTAGATCTTCAGCTTCAAAGGAACAGAGCCAGTGTTTCTGCTAATTTTAAATCCCAGCAGGGCACACTTCTCTGCTTCCTCACCATGCAATACTTAGCTATTTTCTAAAGGCAGGGAGGGGGTGGGGCTGAAGCCTTCAGCTGAGTTGTGTGTCCTTGAACCAACAGCTGCAGAGCAATTTAATTGAATGTAGAACGGAAGAGCAAAATAGCTATTCTAGTGCTCCAGGATTACAATTGTACCAGAGTCTTATTTATAGTTGGTGAATTTCTTTCTTACAAAGAATTTGGGCCAGTAGAATATCAGAGAAGAAAAATAGTCAGGTAGTCCTCGAGTTAGGACCACAATTGAACCCAAAATTTACTGATCAATTAGTTTCTAATCAAGACGGTTTAAATGGATATCATCCCATGTTACCACTTTTCTTTCCAAAGTTGTAAAGTGAATCATTGTTAAATTAGTAACATGGTTGTTAAGTGAATCTGGCTTTCCCATTGACTTTGCTTGTCAGAAGGTCGCAAAAGATGATCACATGACCCCAGGACACTGCAGCTATCAGAAATGCATGCCAGTTGCCAAGCATCCAAATTTTGATCACATGACCACGAGGATGCTGCAACAATTGTAAATGTGAAAAATGGTGATAAGTCAATTTTCAATGCTGTTGTAACTTCAAATGGTCATTAAATGAATGGTTGTAAGGCAAGGACCACCTGTACCAGAATCTCTGAAGGATCAAGTAACATTTGAGCCTTCCTCCTCATCTTCCTCCTCTCCTTACCTCCTCCAATTGAAAGGCAACTCTTAGTAAAGTTGGAGGAATTTGCTTATGGAGAACAAATTAGGATGCCATTCTTTATATAGAATTGCTATTTCAGTCACCACCCTTTGATTGAACTATTCTATTTAAAGCTAAATTTTGTTGAGAATATAGTGCCACATTATATCCTGATAGAACTCATTTGCACTTGCCCCATCATTCATTCATATAGCAAATAAATTGAAAACAGAAGAGACGCTATAGATGCTATAAAACAGGAGTAATGTAAAAGAAGAAAAAAAAATATATGTATTGTCACGGGCCAAATAGCTCCAATAAGCTGTTTTTTATACAGAAGAAAATTGAAACAAGATGCAGTCATCCTAACAACAGATTTATCAGTAAAACTGGCAGAAACAAATGAGATTTATTTTGCTTTGAAGTGTATGGATCGGGCTATACGTGGGAGTCATAAATTGAACCAAATTCCTATAAACACTCCTGGCTCACACTTAGTACATATGTAATTTGCTAATCTCAGTAGGTCTGGGTTTTTTTTTTCTCTTGTCAAAAATGAATTGAGCAACAGTTAGCCACCATATCTGAAGAGGACATAAGCATATTTACAATTAGGAAAATGCCTTAAACCAACTCAGGCCAGAAGTTTAAGGATTGCTGAAATCTCATCTTTTTTCTTAGCCAGCAAGGCTGATGATGGAGAATGTTCAACATTGTGGTTTCATTATGGTTACACATTGCCCGACATGTCATCTGCCAGTTAACCCTTTTTAATTGCTGGGGATCAAATTTGGCTCTTCATGTTATGAACAGGTCTCCTACTACTATCTAATAACCATTTAAAATCACCTTGCAACAAATTGAATCAATTAAAGGTGGGGAAAGAGTTATACAGTAAATTTGCGTGCAGGCTGATCTACCGTCCTTCCTACCTTGGATGAACGTTATAAAACAAATGAAAAGTCTGACTAAAATCAACCAGTAGATGCATTGGTAGATAAAACTGAATGGAGGAAAACATTTCTCCCCCCCCCCCCCTCTCTCAAAAAGATACTTGAATGTGATACGTGTTAACTGTTATAACTCTGCTTGGATTGGATGGGAGAAACAATTAAACAGCATTGACTTTTCAAGGCACGCATTTGTAGCCAGATATTTAATAATTGACATATCCAATAGATTTTTATCACAGCTTGCTATCTATTACCACAAGCAGTTAGTTGCTGTTTTATTAGGCTTAGACTGTATTATTCCAGGCTGAGGAACCACTGGATGTCAACCTGCCTACAGATCTTCATGTTTATCTGTACATTGGATGTATTTGTGCATTGCTTTCTGTTTCACCGGCTGTCTGGTGAACCTATGCCACTAATAGGTGACTGATGACATTCTCTATATTTCTAGTTGAAGTATATTACTCAGAAAAGTGATGGGCTTTCTTTGAATAACCTGGAACAAAAAGAAAAAAAGAAAAAGAAATCTGCTGCTAAGAAAGGAGGAAGAAATTCAAATGAGCTTGAAGAACCCGTGGCAGTCGAGAATGAAGATTCCAACATGGCATAAAACTCACTTTTGCTTGTGTCAAGATGGGGATTTCTCACATTCATTATGAAGCCCAGTTCCTCAGTGTCATCTTGCCTTGATTACAATTCTATTTTAAAAAAAATTTAAATAAGCACTGTGTATTTGGAAAATAAATAAACATTGGGAAAAGAGAAATATACCTTAATGGGGAACTTGGATGATTCTGGAATTGAGTTATTTAAGATGAGAGAGGTCGACCTGAAGAATGATGATTGTATACCTCATAAACAGCAAAAGGCACATTTAATTCTCACTGGACAAAATATTTGGGAATCTTAAGAGCAAATTTTTCAGGGCTTTACACTGTACTAATTTTCCTAGGAAGAAAAGTTGTCAGCTGGAAATTGGACACGTAATAGCATGTACCATCAGTAAAGCTACAGGCACTGGAGAAGAATAAGGAAAAAATACATATCTTGAGATCTTTCCTGCTTTCATAAAAGAATAGTTCCTGCCCCTTCTTGAAAATATTTTAGACATATTTTTTTCATTCGAATTGGCTTTCAGGTTTTCACAAAATAGGTCCAACCACAATATACATTATACAGAGCCTCAGTGGCATAGTGGTTAGAGTGCAGTACTGCAAGTTACTTCTGCTGACTCGGCTGCCTGCAATTTGGTAGTTCAAATCCCACCAGGCTCAAGGTTGACTTAGCCTTCCATCCAAATTGTTGGGGGCAATAGGCTGCCTCTGTAAGTCGCATAGAAGACTGTAAAGCGATATATAAATCTTAAGTGTGATTGCTATACATTTAAAATGATATATGTGATCCCTGCCCATCACTGAATGGCATTTTCTTTTTGGACAGTTCTATATTGCAGTTAATAAAACATTTTATTAATAATAACAGAGCAAAATTAAACATTTCCATCCTGGATTATTTTATTTTGTCCTCATAACTGGACTTCTAAGGAACCTTCACTGTATCTTATGACAGTTAATGTCATCAATCAATTCCACATTGTATAAGAGCTAATGCTAGTTTGTTGTTTACAGAATCTCCTGACAACCAATTTTATTGGGTGATACAGCAATCCAGTATTATGAGAAACAAAGTCTATTGATTTTCTGTGTGCCTTCTAATATTTTAGCTCCCTGTAACATGCCTTCCCCACTATAGACTGTCTCATTTGCTTCTACCTAATACCTTTGTTATTCCCACTCTTGTAGGGAAAACTAGTAGTCAAATTTTGCCTTTATTTTGAATCTTTCCCCGGGTTCATTCTAATTTTGAATAGGTTTCATCTGTACTATATACCTTGCCTGATTTTTGCCACCATTTTGTCCTTTGTTATTTTTATTTTTGCTTGGAAATTTTTCATCATTAATAGCAGACTTTTTTGCTTTTGCTTCTCATTATAAAACCATCTCAAGACTTGTAGTTGTCTTGAGTTGGCTTTCTTGCTCCCCTCTGCTCAGTTTGCAGCAGTGAATCATTACGTTGCTAAATCACACTATTTTGTACTCAAAGTGTCCTAATCATTGTGGGAATAATGGTGAGGAAATGAGGTTTAGTCGGATGGAGAGGGGTGTTTTTTTTTAGTAAATAAAAATGCACATACAGCTTAAATTGATGGCAAATGTGCTTTAATGGGATTGACACCCAGAGACTCTAATTAAGGGTTAAAGTGTACAAAATGCACAATTTGGAGACTTAATTGCGGCCCGGCTTGTGCGTCATTGCTAGAGTTTGGAAAGAAAGGATGGTTGGGTGAGGTGGGGGATAGTGAATGGCTCATAAAACCTAGCAGATTGGAAAACAGAAAATCTCCCTCCCCCCCTCCCAATGTCTAAAAAAGCACAACATATAACTTGCAAGCAGGTGAAGTTCAGACTACATCTGAGCTAAATGGCGTTGCAAGCGTTCTCCTCACTCTGCCTGTTCCTTCTGGGGCTGGTCCTGTTTCCCAGGCCCATGGGGAGTGACAGAACGGGTGCACTTCCTGTCCCAGAAGGGCTGTTGAGGCAACACAACAAGGTAAGCCAAGGGCAGAAGAAATCCTGGGTTTTTTTGCTGATAAAATAAAGCCAGAATATTCCATCAGCTATACATAGCATGGAAGTTGCGGTCCGGAGTTTTTTAAAATAAGCTTGAATTGAAGTCCACTGGGTTAGCTTGGGGGATACATTATTGGCTAAATGATTTGCTTTTTCTTGTACCTTGAATGTGTCTAAAATGTGTTTACACCTTGATGGGGATCCTGCTTTGGACACATTTTAATGAGAAGAGGGGCAATAATAACTAATGCTAAGGTGATACTGTTTCAAAGCAAAAATTGGGAGAAAATAATACAAAGAATCAGGAAATAGCTCTGAGGCATTGATAAGCTTTCTCTTGAATTTCCATTGTATAAGTCTCATTAAAAAGACCCACTACATCTTCACCTTCATCAAAATAATGGCTACGGGTTGTCAGAAAGAATTTAAAAAGATGTTTTAAAAAGTGTTCAGATTGGAATGTTTGAATTATGGTACTTCCGAAACAGATTCAAAAGATCACTCCATTGAAAGCTACCATTCAAAATCTTATTTTTCTTCCAAATTCTTATACAAGCTGCAGCATGGCAGCCTGATAGATTTAGCAACTGATAGCTGTTGCTTTCATAGAGCGCTTTTATAAATGAAACGGACTAGAGTGAAATTATGGTACGTTCGAAGGAAAGGACAGCAAGGAATCCTGCTTGCTTAATTTCTAACCTCAAAAGAAACTTTGAGTTGGTAAAAGCTTTTTTCCTTGGCATGCTACTTTCTTTCTATGTGATGCTTTTAGAATCAAGGCATAGTCATTCAGCTATGAAAGCATCCTTTGAAACGTTTTCCCTTCTTGAGAACATGGGAAGAGGAAGCCTCAAAATCTCACGGTTTACGTTTTGCCACATTTTTAATAGCACTTTGTTAGGATTAATTATAAGAAGAGCAGATTCAGACATTAGATCTAGAGCAGTTTGAAACGTCCTTAAGCCCTTACATGGCATATTTGAGCCTTTCCATGTCCGGTCTCAGGAATAAGGAAGGGTCTGTGCATGAAACTGAACAGGATTATTTGCCACATCTCAAGGCAAGGCAGCTTCAATCTTTAATATTCATTTTTTCATTTTATTTATTTTGTCAAGCATATATAAGATAACAGATGTAAGTATAAACATGGACACGAACAAAGAAGATGAGTACAAATAAGTGGGGACAGTAGGACAGGGACGGTAGGCACGCTGGTACGCTTATGCACGCCCCCTTTACGGACCTCTTAGGAATGGGGTGAGGTCAACAGTAGACAGTCTAAGGTTAAGGTTTTGGGGGTTCCAGGCATTGACCACTGTTGCTGAAGTTGTATTTTCTGCAATCGAGTTTGGAGCGGTTTACGTTAAGGGTGTATCTATTGTATTATTAAGGTTGAAGCTGATGTAATAGTTGACAGGTAGGATGTTGTAGCAGACAATTTTGTGTGCTATGCTTAGGTCAGATGAAGGCAGCGTAGTTCTAAGTTGTCTAAGCCCCAAATTTGAAGCCTGGTCAAGCATAAGGGATTCTGTTGCGAGCAGAGGAGTGGAGGACTCTTCTCCTGAAATATTTCTGGGCTTGCTCGATTGCTTTTCCTCACTTCTTTCCACAACAAGGCTTAATTCTCTTTTGCTTCGTTTGCAAGTATTTTCAGGCACCAGCAGACCTAGAAAAGAAGGAGTTACTGGTTCTCCTCTCGGGGCTGACTGAACGGGCATCCTCGCACATGAACACATCTCATCTGTCAAGGCAGGAGAAGATTGGAGCTGGACCGCGGGGACACAGGGTGCCTGCCCCTCAGCCCCCAACTAGGGAGAAGCCGTCCTGTAAAAACTTTTTCTGGAAAACCTTCTCCTCTTGCTAACCAATTGTTTCCTGCCCGGATGGACACAAGTGTGGATCTGACTGGTGACTTTTGGGAGTAAACCCACTTCTGTAATTCAGTTTCACTTTCTATTGGTATTAGAAGTGTACCTACCGAAAAGTTAGTTTATATTGTTGTTGAATCTCCTCACCCCCACGCAGGTGCTCCTGCTGGCTTTTAATGGTGCCCACCATCGTCCCCCCCATCTCTTGTGTGACAAAAAACACAACTTTGCTCATGTTTTAAATGTACTTTGGTTGAATGTAGAATATACGAAAAGACCCGTTTCCCATTTGGTCTTCTGTATGGGCTTGCCGATCAGAAAGGTTGGCGGTTCCGCGGTTCGAACCCCCAGCGCCGCGTAACGGAGGGAGCTCCCGTGACTTGTCCCAGCTTCTGCCAACCTCGCAGTTCGAAAGCACGTAAAAAAGGCAAGTAGAAAAATAGGGACCACCTTTGGTGGGAAAGTAACAGTGCTCCGTGCACCTTCAGCATTGAGTCATGCCGGGCACATGACCACGGAGACCCCTTCGGACAGCGCTGGCTCTTCGGCTTTGAAACGGAGATGAGCACCGCCCCCTAGAGTTGGGAACAACTAGCACATATGTGCAAGGGGAACCTTTACCTTTTACCTTAGTGGAGTTTACTTGAAGGAGTCCAAAATACAAGTCAGATATCTTCTGCGTGACGTGTTGGAACAGAAATGAAGATGCGTCCCTTTTACCAAGAGGTAATGAAGATGTAAAGAATGCATTTATTAGGGGATGCCTTTGCCAAGTGACAGATTAGCATAGAATTGCCGACTTCGGGAAAGGAGGTTAATTAATATGGATTTTGAATCCTGACAAACCTAGTTGAGGTAATTACTTTTGTAGGGTAGCTCTGTCATTATAAGGGAGGCTTCCGTCCAAAGCTTTAGGACAGAACAATCGGTTTTGACATCTTCATTACCTCT